GAATGATACCTAATTACCTGGAGATTCTCCAAGTCCCTCTTTGATTTTAAAATTGAGTATGGTCGTGATTTTGAAAGAAGAGTTTCTATATCATGGCATGTTTACTAAAAGCTAAAATAAGATTTGGGAACATGTGACTCTAGAACTTTGGAGTCCTTGGGGTTCTCTGAGCTTGGTTCTTTTCTTGCAAACGTTTCATTACCTGGCTAGGTAACATCTTCAGTGCTCTTTAGATCTTGTTGGAGTCCAGTTCCCATCAGTCATAGTCAGTAGACTGCTGATCAAGGATTAACCATCAGTATTGGACTGGAACTCCAGTAATCTCAGAGTGGGAAATCTGCAGTTCCAGGACTGTGTACAGCTTCTAAACTCTTTTTTTAAATCCCCAAATGACTGCTAAATAGGCTTAACATAGTTTTAAGTAAACGTAATCTCAAAACAGGCAGGAAAGGTAAAATTTTGTGGGTGTGATATTGTCCTATCTCCTGTGACCTTTGATTTCTCTCAAATATTAGAAGTGTGCCCTTGCTCTCCAAATGTCCCATTCATGTCATATCTGAAGAGCTACAGCATTTCTACTCCTAATGTGTAACCTGAAATTGTGTTGTTGTTCTTATTTTGGGTTTTATTTTTTTCTTATAATGGCAAAGTGGGGGAGGGGATCTTCATTAGAAGTTCTATAATGCCAAGCAGCTTATTTTTAAATAGGGGCACAGAGCTTAATTTGCCTGGCAAAGACACTCTTGTAGCACATTTTGACTTTCTGTAATTTTCTATTGTGTACCCACCCAACTACCAGGTTAATAAAAATGTTGGTGACCAATCTCACAAAATGACAACTCACCGCTGTGTTCGCTTAACTCTGGTTAGCATGGCTAACGATGTGAATGAAGCCTGGATCAGTGACCATCCCTACTTGGCAATTTGTTATGTGTGGGAATATGCGCCCACCTGGGCATGGTGGCTGTTGAACCGCATGGGAAAGAAGCGGATAGAGAACTTCAAGCATGGAGTGGTATGTTCTTCAAATAGTATCTATATCCTATCCTGGTATCACTTAAACCTACTAAATTGGCTGATTTGAGAAGGCTATATGCTATGCAGGATGCCAAATGTTAAATCTCCAAGTTTAAGTCTCCTTACAAGATATTGATATTTTGGTTCTATACACCCTTTTGGGGGTGACTGCAACTCTACTTTTTGCACGGGCATCCATAGATAGAGTAAAAACTCTGCACTTTGATTGTGCAGTTGTGGCTGCAATCTTGATTTTTAAATCCCACCCCCCAGGCATGTATTTATTTGTTCTTGCAAGATATAATGTACACGTCTGTTTATTTTGGACTGGACATTTATGGCAAGCCAAATGCAAAGATTCCTACTTTGAATATTATATTCACAATCTTAAAGCTGTACACATAATATGCTTCTATGTATATTCCAGGTCATGTCCTCTTGCTCCAGTTCCAGATCTTTGGCTTTCTCAGAGGCTACAGTGCAGATGTGTACAACTGCTAATTGCTTGAGGGCTGCACTGGGCATTGCCCAAAATATGGAGAACTGCATTCTAACAATGCTTGGGGCTGGGACTCAATTCTAATTTTTGGAATACTTGAGGGCTTTGAGGGGGTAGAATTAGCATATTTTCCCTTTATGCAGTTTTTCCCTTAAAATCCTCAGAAAGCTACAAAATGGGAGAGAGGGAAGGAGAGAGAAAGAGAGAGAAGGAGAAAGGAAGAGAGAGGGAGAAAGAGAATAGACTATGTTTTTGGTCCTGTCTATTCTGTAAAGCACTGGAGATTCCCCCATCTTCCAGCAGTGGTGGGTTTCATTTTTCTTTCAGCTGTGGATAAGTGACAGGAGAACGTATTCAGGAGCTCCATTACAGATCAAACCATCAGCCTTCAAATCCAGAGTCAAGCTATTTTATTCATCCATCTTGTTCATTTAGATTGTGGATAGTGAAAGTGATGCATTTATTCTACTTGACATATTTGTACCTAATTATTATTTATTAAGCTTAGATGCCACTTAACTCCTAGAGACTTTTGTTCTTTTCAGCTCTGTTGGGAAGGCATTTCAAAGCATAAAGGAAAATATTACCACTTTCTGATGTAAACAGATGGTTGTTATCTGAATGTTTTCCGTAGTACAATTGCGAAATCAAGGCAAACCAGATTCCCAAGTGTTGTGTCAGTTGCCCCAATGTATATCTGGAAATTTCCAAAGCCAAGTTCATAGCTTATCAGAGCCAAGATGTCAGATAGGGCATTAAAACCAGACATGATCCTTCCATCACAGGATTTAGTAACATCTTATCCTATGCATGTGATTGAAGCATTCCAAGTATCTTACTTCCTTTATTTGAATAGCCTTGCCTAAGTAGCATGTATCGTTTCTTACAGGATGCTGATGTTTCTTATTACAAAAAGTCTTCCTAAGGAAAACGAGCAGCCCAGCATTCTTTTGAACCTGAACCAGCATAAGGAAAAGAGAAGAACCTCTGCTTTAAAAGTTTATAGTTTTCTTTTGCAAACACTTTGGCAAGAAAGGATGCTAAAATGTACAATGACTTGTGTACCTGTATAAAGCTTCTGACTTTGCAGCTACCCAAAGAAAGTTCCTTTACTTGTTGGCTGTTCATGGCACTCTTTTCAACATATACACCAAGATGATGATTCAAACCTAACTTTCTTCCAACCCATCTCCTCAAATACTGGCTGGGCTTATATAAACACCAACCTATAACATGGTTTGGTTAGGACTTACTGCAGGAACATGCAGCTTCCATTGGCTTGAGACCCATACAGGCTTTCCACAGCACGTCGGGGACTGTACTCCTACGGTGGATTGGCCAGGATCCATGTTCAGGGGTCCTATGGATGCCTTAAGCCTCTATAATGTTTAAAGTGTTTATTTTACCCAGTTAAACCCCTCCCTTCTGAAATGCAAAAAGAGCAATATTTTTGGCCCCATGTAGTCAGGAGAGGGACTGGGGATGGGAAAATGGATGGTAATGGGCCACAAGCAAGACCCAGCCACATTCTTCATGTGCTATATGAACCATGGTGATTCTGTTCACTTAGTAAATAGCTTAGTATAACATATGAACTCAGTCATTGTTTTGAAGCCTTTAGTTACTCACTTAAAAGAAACTTTCAGAGGATAGCTACTTAATAACTTAATAACTTGAGAGAATCAGAACTCTCATCTGCTATTTCCAACTCAACACTAAAATACTAAAACTCTAATGTTGATGATTGGAGTTACACTATATGATTTACAGTTCTACCAACTGCAGGTGAACAGAATGCTTTGTCACTCTGACAGAGGAGAATAAATACACCTTTTATATTACCTCTCCTGCAAGCAATATAGCCCTATGAGGATGGTAAATCTGCTTTGTCAAACCCCTCACACCAATGAACTTAATGACTGATCTGTCAGGTAGTATATCTGTCTTCCATTGTGAGCTGGCCTGCTTTTTTGTGTAGCCTCATTGCCTTCTTCTGTTGACCTCCATTTTTTTCCTCATAAGCAGGTAGGATTTGTTTCTAAGTAGGAGCATGGTTGCAAGTCTCTTTGTCTCTGGGTTGCACAATCATACTGGAAACTCTTCCACCTGTCCAATCTTCTTGAACCATGACATTTCTTTCCCCTAATATTCAATTTGTAATTCTTAGCAAATGTTTCTTTTTCAAGATTGAACAGACATTAAATATTTTTCAAGTATCCCTTTCATAATACAAATATACAATGTAGCAAGTGAAAAAAAAACTTGTGCTATAACAATAATTAAAATAGCCTTAGTTTTACAGTAAAATACAAAACTATGGTTTAAGGTACATAAACTAACTTACATCCCTGTGGAAATTACTTGCCAATACACTATTGGTAATGATTTGGGGGATTTTATATAAAAACACACAATATACATCATTAAAATACATAATTAATTATCTTATTGCCTGCATTAAGTCTCCCATTGTCAGCCTGATGCTAAACAATACATGCTCAAAATCCCTCTCCAAAGAAGTGCCCCCACTGCGACTGAAACACAAGTGGCCTAATTGTGGGAACTACAGGAAGGGCATATGAAGAGGTTCAGAGGAATAAACAGGATAGCCAAGTGGAGGATCTGCTGCTTGTATGGTCAGGTTCCTTAGGAGTACAGGGTGTGCCTGGATGCTATAGCGTTCCTCATCATCATTTGTGGCATAAAGCAGCTCCCACGACAGATTTCCCCACTGTCCTCTGATAGCTTCATCATTCAGTTTTCCCACTTGTACTAGGAATTCCTGAAGGGTGAGTATCCTGCCAGTATAAACTCCCTGAAAGATAAAGATGAGCACAAAAAGTCATCTTGTCTTTGAGCGCTGCAGAGAAGTCAGATTTTTGTTTTTCTTCGGTAGTAAAAATCTGGGCCACGTGTATTGTGAAAATAGTGTTGGATCGAGATATAGTCAGTCTAGACCCACTGAAAGCATAACCGATTTAAGTTGTATTAATGTATGGGTCAATGGAAGAAGACTCTGAATCCCATCCGGTACAATTCAGCAGATTCAGTTGACGCTTCAATTAAAAAATGTCATCTAGTGAGACCTTAGAGGTGTGCCTTCTAGGTCATGGTGCCTCTGGAACAGCATTCCCCCAGAAATCTGTATGGCCCCCATCCTGATGATGATGTTGTTCCAAAAGCCACTGAAACTGGGTGATTGCCCCAGGCCTCAGGTTGGGCAGCTGGTGAGCCCTTGTAAGATTTTGTTATTCTACATTGTTTTTTTCTCTCTGGATGCATATCATCTGTCTATGTCAATCATTTTATTCCTTGCTTCCAAATTATTATTATATTGCTTTTGTAACAGAGATGACCAGCCTGAGGCTCCAGGCCATACACAGAAGCCTTGGATGGGGCCCCTACAAGTCTCTCAATTGTTACCAAACTGTAATTTTGAATATGATAGCGGTAATATTAAAACATGGCTAGAGAGTAATCATATTACATATATATAATCCATTTTAGTATGTCATGATCCCACTTTTTTAAAAAAATACAACCCTCCAAAGCAGTTTCTCAACCTTAGCAATTTTAAGATATGTGGACTTAACTTATGCTGGCTGGGGAATTCTGGGAGTTGAAGTCCACATATCTAAGGTTGAGAAACACTGCTCCAAAGAACAGGTAAAGTTTTCAGTCAAGAAAAAGTTGTGCATCTCTGTTTTAAAAGATTATGTGCAGGAATTAATTGAACAATATTCATACAATGAAACCATAAACCCTAAAAAGATACCCAAAATATGTCTTAATACATTTTCTGAAAACAAGGCAAATGGACATCAACTACGAAGGTAAATTCTGAAGTTTGGAAGCGACACAAAAGAACAGCTTTTCTCTAGGCTTCCACAAGAAGGAATGTCACAATCAGCTATGCAGATCTTAATTACCAGGTAGATTTTTAATGAGACAGGTCTTAAGCTGTTTTGTTATGGAACTTATTAATAAACTACCGTATTTTTCCGACTATAAGATGATACTTTTTTCTGAAATCCTTACGCTAAAAATTGAAGGGCGTCTCATG